ACTTTTAAAAATTGGGCCCGGGGGGGGGGGGGCGTTAATTGGAAAATCAATTTTATAAAAAATTTTGCCCATCAAACATACCATTTGGATGGAAAATGGTTTCCATAGAAAAAGAAGCCTATAAAATAGGCTCTAAATATCATACCAATTAAATATTGAGTTCCTACAGATAACGATGGCTTGGAAAAAAAAATTGGACTTCTCGTAGAGAGAGAGATGACTTGACTTGACTTGATCACCGATTGATATTTAATTTCCGAATAGAATTATCTGAAATTTTATATATCTATATTTACAAACCCAATTACACGCTTGCACTTTGGGTAAAAAACACCAAGAGTCACTCAACTTATGGTGATGTTTAATATCAGCCAGTGAACTTTATTTTGCTTCAAAGGTGGTCATTGAAATTTGGTTTTGGTTTTGGTTTTGGTTTTGGTTTTGGTTTTGGTTTTGGTTTTGGTTTTGGTTTTGGTTTTGGTTTTGGTTTTGGTTTTGGTTTTGGTTTTGGTTTTGGTTTTGGTTTTGGTTTTGGTTTTGGTTTTGGTTTTGGTTTTGGTTTTGGTTTTGGTTTTGGTTTTGGTTTTGGTTTTGTCATAGTTAAAATTAGTTACATTAGCTAAAGGAATGTGTGATGCGGAAGACCTCAACACTAGCGTTGTAAGATTGTCATTAACCATATCACACATTTCATTTAAAAAAAGTAATCGAATTGGAACAAGTAACTAAACTAAAACAAATGTGAAATTAAATGAGTAAATTGAAACAAAATAAAGTCAGTTGATTAGCATGAAACTCCCCTATATTGCATTGTATGGATCAAGCGAAATTATGGGTTCAAGTTTAATGAAATTGTGCACACGTTAGGTTTCAATGTAAAAACTAGACCGTCCTTACAAGTAAGGGGACAGTGTTGAAGATATTTATTTAAATGATGTATTTGTCCCTTCTAACTATTTAAACTTTTAAATTAGGTGATTTGACACCCAACGTGAGTCATTCGAATATCTAGGAAATTTGTACTCATCATGATTTCAATGACAAAATATCTTCAAACACTTCTGTTTGGTAGCCTTTTTTTGATAAACATTATTTAAAATAGTGATTTTATGAAAAATGTATTATTAAAAGTATTGAATTTTTTTGAATTTACGTATAGAATATTTTATTGTATGAATGTGTGGTTGAAAATAAGTATTAAAAAAAAAAGGAGTTAGAGATAATCAGGGACTTTATTAGTTTGACGAAATTCTCTTAATTTACACTATTTTTCCTCAATAGATGCTCTGAAATAATGAACCACTAATATTTGCGAAAATAAATGTCTTACTTGTTAAATCAATGAGTTCCAATAGATATTGATGGCCTGAAAAAGCAGTTGGACTTTTTTGTAACAAAAACAAACAATGAAGACTTAACTTCGTCACTTTATTGATTTTTAGTTTTTATTTATGGCAAATGATCTCACATAAATTTGCAGTTGAGCTCCAAATTATAAGTTTATACAATAATTTTATATATCATAGTTACTAGTTATGTCAATTCGAATCAAAGTCATTGATTGAGAATTTCGTTAAAATGTTGTGGCACAAATTAGTGTTTTGAGCTTCGTTAAATAAGTCCAACAATTGATGTGGGAAAAGTAAAGAGACAGGATTCAAACGGTTGAATAAAAATTGAAACTCTGACAATTAAAAATAATAAAATAAATTAGCAATTTTATTTATTTTCAAAATAGAACTTGAAAAACAGGTAAAATTGAACTGGAAACAAATAATAAATTAATTGTCATACTCGTTTAATCAATGACTTCCTATTGATACAGATGCCTTGGAAAAAGGTTATGACTTCATATATGAAAAATCAAAAAGGAAGACTTGACTTAACCACCTGTTTGATTTTATTTTTTATTTCTTGGAAAGACTTGACTTAAGTGGAGGATCTTTCCAAGAAATAAAAAAGGAAGTCTTAGCTTTTGATCATAAGATTAAGGCAGAAATTATTGCGTTAGGTTTTTCCTGTAGTTTGAATTTTGAAATAATTCGTTATCAATTTAGATGCCTACTCTTAGAAACTAGTATGAAGTGTGAAAGAGAAATATGCTATACTTGCACAAAATCCAATTAAGGTGACGTGTACATAATGAATTTTTAGTTAACTCAAAGAGAACAATTCAATACAGTACCAAATTCAGGTCGATCCCCGTTGCGCAGCGACAAACACTAGTCAGGGTGGCAAATCATTCGCAAAACAGAAATAAATACATGCAAAATGATGAAAAATATCTAAGAAAGAAGAACAATTTTTTTTTTTAATTACCAGAGAACGAATTGCATCTCATGGCTACCCAAAAAGTCATAGAACTTCGAAGCCAATTATTGTTTAATTTCACGATTTTCACTACAGCAAAATTTGCATAAATTACCTTTGTTTGACGTCACATGGGATCAAAATGGATCAAGCCCCTCAATCATTTTCCCACAAAACTTTTGTTTCAACTTATTCACCTGATTTCGAAAAGTTTCAATCTAGTCACCTTATTTAACTTATCCTATACATCACTCAAACCATCAAATGTAATTAAAATTAACTTATATGCTGATGAGGCAAATGGAATGCAATATAGGCAAACACTAGTTATCTTGTATAACGTTGACCTATATGATACAAAAGTTTATGTAGTTAAAAATGACTGCATATAAGTATTCCAAAAGGTTCCAAACCCGTATATGTTTTACATTTATTTTTATCTATGACGAGTTTATCTCTTATGGAATAAGAGAACTAGAAGCAATGATTATGGGAGGTGGAGAAAGGGCTGCTCGTAGCTCATCTTTATGCATGAGAAGAACTTCTCTATCATTGTCTGATACAATCTTTTATTCCAATAAAAATTGCCCAAAATGGCTCTGAAAATCTGTTTATAACAGTACAAAATCTAAAAATGGAAGATTAAAACTTATCACCAATTATCATTGTGAGTAACTAATAATGTGGTAATTTATTTTGGGATCATTCACCATTCAAAGCAATGCTAATTATATTAACGGTTGGGAGAATAAAGTCAATTCGGAGTC